GGCGCGAGCCGCTCGTCGGCTTCGAAAAGCGGGGATTTTGTTGGATGGTGTTGCGCGTCGAGCTCACTGGCAAAAGGTAGTGGGGAATAGACACCCATGGCATGCCTGCAACGGCGCAGAATCCCATCGATCATTCGAGCCCGTTTCCCCGTGTTTCACGCCGCCGTGTGTTGCACCGTGTAGCGAGAGCAGTCGACCACCGCTGCCCTCCTCCGCCCTCCTCCACGCTCTGCCCCTGACACGTCCACCCATCTCACCCCACCCCCGCGCGAATTGCCCCTACTCTGTACGACGTGCCGAGTCCGTGACGGTTCGGCGGGCAATGCCGACCAACCATCACGAGGCCTTACCTTCCCTATTATATTTATGTGGCGGCTCGCGGTCGGGAAGGTTTATGCAGTGTCTCTAGTCTGTCTCGTGCCACTCTTCTCCTTTTTTTTCAACTTTATCCTACTCCTTTTTCGCGCCGCTACACGCGTTCGACGTTCCAGTGTGTCATCGATGTTTATCGCCGAGCCTCGTCGCTATCGACGAGATCGTTTCGCGGGACACGGACGATTCTGTCGGAAACAGTGATCCGACCGATCGTCATTTCGGCAATTAATATTTGCAAGTTGAGTTATTCATCCCTGGTGTATCTCTGTGATTATTAGTCGAGTTAAACAGGATCGACAGCGAAATTAATGAACTTCAACGGTGGTTCCACCGTTGTCATTCAAATAACGCGCATAAACGGATACTGTCAGTGTGTGGTTCGCCGGAACGGATAGCATGTTCAGCGGATCGAAGCGTACACCACGTGTACAGTGGACCCAATAAGTGCGAGCGTCCGTAGAACACCGACCAATGAGAATGTAAGGATGCTGGGCCACGCTTCGGATACCGACGTTCGCTTGTCCGAAACGTGACCTTACCCTACGCGGACTTTGCCGTATTCACCACCAGTCTGCCGGTAACTTTGAATTCTATAGCCTGTCGCTCCGATTTCGGGCTGTTAAACTGTTCGATACAATCCTACTTTCTATCTGATTTTTTGGTTGAGTAAAACGGTGTCAAAATATTAGCTGCACGTGCCTAAGAAGAAGTCCCTTGAAAGGAATGCGGGCCTGATTGGTCAGAGTGAAAGGGACACGGATTTACTCACACGTATTTTTAAATGTATTGTTAGTCGAAGCACATCTGACAATTACACTGTTATCAAATTAGCTCCTGTCTTGTTAGACTTGTAGGGCATACACAATACAGTTGTAATACAGGCTTTTTGGATTAGGAAGCTTGACGATTTTAAAATTCCTAAATTTCATATTTCCACAATTCTGAATGTTCAAGTTGAATTTTTTATAAATTTCGAAAAGCTCGACTTGTCGAATTTGCATTCCTTAAATTTTCAATGTCATTAGCAAATTTTCAAATTTTTCAAATTTTTTAATTTCCAACTTCTCAAACTTTGAACTCCTTACAACGCGTAATGAACGAATATCTGGTAATGTAATACATCGTCGCACAGTATTCAGTACAGCGCTAATAATATATCGCGCAGTAATCGAATAGGTAGAAATCCAGCGTGCGGTAATGCAACGTATGAAAGTATTACGCGTGGCGAATTAACGCGCAGTGATTTAACGCGTTGTAATACAACGCATTGTTGCACAGCGCTTGATAGATTAACGCGTAGTAATGCAACGCATGGTAATCCTATAAGCAGAAATCCAGTGCATGGAAATATAATGTGAGACGAATTAATGCGTGGCGATACAACGCATTGTACAGCGCTTAATAATACAACGCGCAGTAGCATAACGCATGATAATACATATTCACCACGTGGTTCTCTTGGAATTATAAAAGAACGTACGGTAA